GCAAGGCATTTTCCATAGATAAAACAAGGCCTTATCTCTGATTATTTCATATTTAAAAATCAATTTTGGGAATGTAATTCCAATTCTTATAAAATTGCTGAATGGTAGAATAGGAAAATGGAGATTTTTGTAAACATTGCACAAAATAAGAAAAAAAAAGGAAAATTAAGATTTTATGACATAAATAGTGGATGACCCTTTATTTTTTAAATACAATGGCTTACACCAAAATATTTTGTGTTACAATATCATTAGTTAAATGGACAGTTGCAAAAATATCACTTTTGCTGTGTACATTTTTAAAAATACCACTTAATGGTATCTATTTGCAAAAATGGCACAAATTATAGATTTTTAAAACTTAAAACTTAAAATTATAAATTCTAAAAAATTTTTTGACCCATAAAACTCTCAAAACTAAATTCTAATACAACATAGTTAACCCAAACATAAATGTTATAATGAATTTTTTTAAATGGCATTTTTACAAAGATTTTGAAAAGGTGGCATTTTAAAAAAATGGCAGTTGAAAAGTGGTATTTTTTAAAATTTCTCTTAGTTTAAATCTAGTATTCTGTATAAGAAACAAAAATATCTCAAAATATATGGTTTAAATGTAGAAAGTAGAAACAAACATACAACTAGGTGCTTATATATTTTTCAGTGTTAAATAAATTATAAGATTTCGCTTTATGTTAAAATATATTTAACAAACTATGTTTAATCTTATCGGATCAGATTGTTAAAAATAAACACTCATAATAAATATACAGTACGTATATAATATGGGAGAAGTTTATTTCAAGTAAATAAATTAACATTTTTGTATATACTAAAGGGGGGAAACTTTGATCTAATTAATAAAACTAAATAAATGGATTTCGAATTCGAATCAGAGCCAAAAATTCTAAATTTATTTAAAATTTAAAAGAAAACTGATCTTTTTTGGACAACAGAGGTTTTCAATCATTCAAAACTATATTACATCAGACCAAACATGAACTTCTTCCTTTGCAAGGGAGTCAGCAAGAGTATTTTTTTTATCTAAACACATGCGGAAACTCAATAAACGAAAACAGAGGAAGGTTCTTATTGAATATGAACTAAAATGAAAAATATGTACGAAACCATGCATATTAAATTAATTTTATTCTTTACACTTTTTTTTGTTTGTTTAGAAAGTTCTTATTGTTAACACTATTATTCATCAATTCAAAGCCTAACAAAAGAAAACTGAACTAAAATTCGGATTTTTTCCTTTATTTCAAAATGGTAAACGATCTTAAATATGTAGTTTCTCATTTTTGATTATGCATTTAAAGATATCAAAATCTTATATTAAAGTATTGAATCAATGGATCTTGATGAACAATATCACGAATACATATATTAAAAGAAACGAATTCAGACAAATATGATCATATATATATAATATTTTTTATTATAAACCATACAACATGTGTTGAAATGAAAACATATACAAATATGTACATATGTCTGATTTTTATTTTATTTTGTAAATACATGAGATTCGCAAATCCAAAATACTCGATTCAAATAAGAATATCAAAATATACATTACCAATTAAGTTTCCAAAAAAAAA